GGGACAGTGCCCAGGGAGGTGGTGCGGACGGACCCCACGGCCAGTGGTGGTCCTGGCAGGAGCTGGGGCTCTCGGATAACAATCTCAGGCGACGAGAGAGATCTGGATGGGCCATTGCTCTGCAGCTGGCAGAACACAGATCTTCCCTACACAGGCTGGGATGGGCGGCAACAGGAGAAGACGCTAAACTTTGGGATCCCTCCACTGTAAAAGGAAAGGAAATTGCCCTCTGTGGCAGCTGGGACAGTTTTCTGACTAAGAGGAGGAGGGAGAAGCCTCATGATTAAGCTAGTTTTCAAAGTGTCCTCTGCCCAGCAGCTGCCCCATTGGTGTCACGGCTCCAGGGCCAAGGAAGCTCGCCCGCGCTCTGGAGAGCCGCGGGTCCCAGCAGGCCTGCATGTGGTACGGTCTGTCCCTCTGCTCCTTGGCAGTAGGAGGCAGGGGCCAGGCTCGGCGCAGGCCACCCGATGACCGTTCCCACCACCGCCCCACAGGCTTCCTCATGAACCCCTGGCCACACTGTCCACTGTGTCAGGGAGGGGTGAGGCGCAGAGCCGCACTTGTGGTGTGGGAACCCGTGGCCTCGCTAATTGGGGTCTGCGGTGGCTCTGCTCTTTGTCTGAGCCAAGGAGATAAGAAGCAACCGGCTGGGCGCTGATCTCACAGCTTGCAGGACACCGCGCAGGCTGACTCCGAGCGCCCAGTGTGGCGAGCAGCAGGGTCCAGCTGGTGGTGGGCTGGCTCCTCCAGGGACACTGGCGTGGTATCACAGGGAGCCCTGGCTGGGCTGAGCTCCTCCACCACCCGCTGCTGTGGCTTCTCTCCGAGTGAGCCAGGAATCGGCCACATTATCACAAAGTCCTGGCCAGTCTGTTACTCACCAGAACCAAAACCGTTCTTGGAAAAATAAAGACAGCACCAGTTTAGAGCGGCCGGGGTGCTTCTTACGGCTCGCTCGAAAGTCACAGAAATCAGATCAAACAGCAGATAGCGTCCACTTGCCAGGGGAAGGACCTGGGTACATGAGGCACTGGTGTCTGCTTGTTATACAGAAGTAACACGGGAAAACGTCCCTGCACGAACTTGTAAATTGAAGCAGGCACGGCTTCCTCTGCATGCGGTAAAGCCCTGTGTATCTCATAGTTCAAGCCGAAATCACAGGTATGGTTAATAATGGATTTTGCTCCTACCTAAATATAAAAAGTATTATATGTTGTATTGACATGCAGGCTAAATCCTTCCCTTATAAGGTGCTCGACATAAATAGCTCTTATTGTGGAGCCCTTGGGAAGAAGGGACACACGCATTTCTTAAAGGTGCCAGCTGCTGCTGTCACCCTTGGAAACATAAAATCGGAGTCCCCAACGTCCAGTATCAAATCATAGCCCAAACCCTATAAAATGCTCTTGTCAGAAAGTGCCAGAAGCCCGAGCCTCCTCCGGGGCAACACGTTGCAGCTGGTGCTCCGGTGGCCCGGGCGGCCAAGCATCCGCACGCCTGCTTCCTCGTCCTCCGCCGGCCGGCCGCGGTCACTCCCTGTGCTCCCTCTCCCGCAGGGCCGGCTGGGAAGGAGCGGTGGCCGTGGCCTAGGCCACTTGCCGGGGGACAGAGCCCGAGGGCCGAGTCCAAGGCCTGCAGATAGGACCCTGCGTCAGGAATGCGAGGAATGTTTTCCTGCGGACCCGCGGAGGCGCACAGACCATGGGGATTCTGTCTGCCGTGACAGCTGTGACACTTACCAGAGCCCCGCACGGCTGTGGAAATGGCATTGCCCACCCTGAAAGTGAGAAGGTAACGTTTATTTTTGTATTTTCTCTCTCTCTCCCATATACAGACTCTCGAAAGACCACCAAGCGTGGATCATTTTTTTTCCACCGTGATGTACAATTCGCATTTGTTAATCAAAAAAAAAAAAAAAAAAAAAAAAAAAAAAAAAGTGCCCGGGGTCATCCACCTAGCCTTTTTTTTCTTAAACAGGAAACGGGTTTCAGATGTTTATATGTTGGAAAGTAAGGCTGCTAATCTGTTTAGCCATTTACCAGGCCGTGGCTAACTGGCTCTTACCTTTTAATGTGCAGGCTGCACGAGTGACATTAATTTTTATCCCTCTCTTGTTATTTAGAATTTTTTTAAGCTTTCATACTCACCTGCTTTTCTGGGACAGCTCCAACAGAGGCTGCAGGAGAGGGGCCGGCAGTTTGCACTGCTGGGTTCCCGCGGCCCAGCACCATGGCCTGCATCTGAGAATCCCAGCTTTCAGATTCTTTCTGATGGACTATGGTCACCCCCATTCTTGCAGATCTGTACCCACAGACACATGTCTGCTGAGCCACTTAGTCAGGTTCAAATTAGAGATCCCCACAGAGATCCCCTGGGTAACAAGGACAGGAGCGGCTCGCTCCAGCCCAGGCTCCTTCTCGGGGTCCCCTAGACATCAGGCCTGAGAGGACGCCCAGTGCGAGTCCAGTGACCCAAAGGCTTCCCGCATCACCTGTGTCTGGAGCCCACCATCCCGCCTAAAGTGTCAGCCCGACGTTTGGAAATAAGTTTCTGCTTTAGTGCTGGAATATTTTCCCCTGGCCCGGGACTGCTGGTTTTCACCGATTGCTCTAGCTTCCCTGGCGTAACATGGCAACTCAGTGAAATTTATTTCTACGCGGGGGAGAAGTGTGTGTTTATAGCCCAGGAAACAGGAACACAGACAGGGAGGTTTGAATGCTTTTTGAGTGAATTTGCCAACCTTCAAATCGCTGCCTTAAAAGATTATTTCAAACACAGGATTCAAAGCAAAGCAATCCTGTCATTTCCTAAAACTGCGGAGCGGCTCCTGTATTTCAGCTCAATCGTGTTTAGCCAAATGCTTTATGTCTGCAGATCCTGCAAAGACAATTGTTGGAGAATTTCATCAAGGAGTGAAAACCAGCTAAGTTGAAGTGAGTTTTTAAAATCAGCTGAGATGAGCTGAGCTTGTAAAATCACTCCCAAAATTCGGGGATCAGGAAAAAGTTACACAAAGAATCGCTTCCCATTTCCCTACAAGAACCCCCATCTCCCCCACGAATATAATGTATAGTTCGATGAGGCAAGGATACATTTATTTTCTTTTTCATCAGCATCAGAAGTGGCTGGAGGAAAGATCTCACAAGTATAAAACGGGACACACAGTAAGGCCCGGACTCCTTTCCCTGGAGCGGGGATGAGCAGGACAAAACAGATTTTCAGGCTTCCTTTTATCAAACCCATTTTCACCTGGGGCTGGGACCGTGCCAGGCTGCCCCACCCCAGCCTGGGTCTCAGAGACCCTCCGAAGGTCACAGTGTCACCTGCGCTGCGCTGCTCTGTGAGTGACCTGACGGGAGCTGTTTCTCTGGATGACGCTCCTGCAAGGCGCTGCTGGGCTCGGGCTGCTAAGAGGTGGCGAGGGAGGGGCGCCCCATGCTGCTGCCGCTGCTCCCCCAGCTGTTCCGTGCACCTGAGAAGCCTGAATTTCACTCACTCACAAAGCCGCTGCCCAGCGGGGACCCTGGAAGCCCCGGGAGCTGCAGGGGAGGCAGCCTGAGGAGCTGAGGCAGCTTCAGTAACCACCAGCGCATTTCCCCTGGTGGGGCTCAGCAGGTCCCAGGATCTCAGGAGAGGAACCTGCTCGGGGAGCCTGGCTTTTTTATTTTTTATCTTCTAAATAAAATGTCTTGCTGATCCCCAAACAGCTAATGAACAGAAAAATGCCTAGACGGGCACAGTCACTGCAGGGCCGTCTGGTCAGCTCCGAGCCAGCGCTCCCAACACCTGGGCGCTGTAAATCACCCGCTGTAAACACCGAGCCGGCCGAAGGGCTGTGCGGGCTGCAGGGAGCGCGTCCTCCCTCCGCCACCGCCGGGCCATAAAGCAGGCGCAGGCTCTGCCTCATCCGCGCTCTGCTCCTGGGCGGGGAGCAGGGCCCCTTTGCAGGGCTGCCCCGTCCCTGGCCACTTCCCGCCCTGGGCAGTGAAGCTGGGGTGTTTATGATGCTCCCAATGGCTTTATGATCCCGAGAGGGGCCTGGGCCAGGGACCTGATGGGGCTGTTTGTGAAGGTGTGTGGGAGGACAGGATTCCAGTTTGGGTTTTTAAAATTCTGTTAGTAAAATTATAACAATAGCAAGCAACCGAAAAGCAACCAAAAGAAGTGTAAGGAGGGGTCCCCAGAGTCAACAGGAAGGACAGGAGCATTCCCGCTGTGACACGGACTGCGTGCTCCCTGCTGCGGCTTGGCCGCCGATGACAGTGGCTTTACGTCTGGTGCGGGTGATGGCCGGGAAGCCCGAGGCCGAGTGTGGACGGCAGAACAGGGCCCTCCCGGGCAATTCCTCCATGCACTGGGGCTCCACTTAAAAAATAAAACCCTGGAATGGTCAGGCTTCAGGCAGACAAACGTGTGGACAGGCGGTGTAAACACCATAAACGTGGCCCAGGCAGGAGCCGGACAGGCTCTTCTGCCGTCCGCCCTCGGTGTCCACCCTCGGTGTGGGCCAGCAGGGCCCGTGGAGCCCAGACAGTCTCTTCCCCGCCTCTGGGCCCGGCACAGAGAAAACATTCTTCAGCCCGAAATGAAGCAGGATCAAATGGTTGCTGATGACAGCAAATAAAATGGGAGCCGACTAACGGAGCCTTATTAATAAAGCTGGTTTAATAGGTCCTCAGCAGCAAGGGCCATTTGGACCCGACACTGGAGACGCGGCCAGGGCGTGTCTGAGGCTGCCTGGCAGCGCTGGGCTTCGCCCCAGCGGGGAAAGCACGGTTCTCTCCTCTCATGGCACTGTTCCCCGCACGTATGAAATGAAAGCAGGGTGCGTCCCAGGTAGCTTTTTGAACTGTTAATGCGACATAATCCACACAAGCCCAGGCCATGATGTTTATTTGTAACTGGGCGGGCAGGGGGCATGCGGACCGCTGGAGCCGAGAAGGCCACGCATGGGCTGAGTGTGCCCACCTCTGTGCCGCGGGACGGCCCTGACCTGAGCTCCGGCCAAACCTAAGCCCGCTTGCTGACGACTGTGCTAATTTACACACTGAATTCTATGTAAAGAACGTGGATGTCTAGGCTCCAAAGGGGAAAAATACCACTTGGGATATGAAATCCCGCCCCTGTGCACACTTCTCCATTCAGAGCTGGGGTCTCCGGGCTCCTCAGAGGCCAGGGAGTGGACATTTGTGTCCGCGGGCTCAGCGTGACTTCTCCGTTTGAAGGAGGAAGGCGACGTCCTTGCTGGGTGTGCCGTGTCCCCACACGGCTGCCGCAGCCTGCTTTGTACGCAGCAGGCCCTTCCGGATGTGGGAGCAAAGCAGACTCTCTCAGGCTTCTGCATGCTAGTGCAGAGCCCTGCCCAGCCCGCGTGCAGCCAGTGACGGCGTCCGGAGACCAAGAGCTGAAGCGGGTGTGCCGGCACACACTTATAATCCTGGTGCTTAGGGAGGCTGAGGCAGGAGGACTGCAAGCTTGAGCCCAGCCTGGACAGCTTAGTGCCTTAGCAAAACCTTGTCTCATGATAAAAAGCACAAAGACTTGGGGCTGTAGCCCAGTGGTACAGGACCCCGGCTTCAATTCCTGGTGCTTTCTAAAGTAAAATAACAAAATAAAACCTCGGACGCTTTTACAAAGACAAAAACCAAGCTGACATGTTTTATTCACTTCTCACCCGCATCGTTGGGCGACTCAGCCCTGGACCCGCTGACCGGCCGTGCTGGACCTAACCCGTCAGTGCCAGCTCCCCTCCTCTGTCCCTGGGGGCCTGCCTGGGAGCTGTGTCTCACCACTGATGGTGGGCTGTTTGCTTTCTAACTCGGACTTCCGAGAGGCAGGCTGACCCCTTCTGGAGAAGCCTCCATGGGCAGCACCTCTAGGGCTTGGTGGCCGCAGGCAGAGCTCAGGGACTGGCCATGCTGGCCTCTGTGAAGCGCCCTCTGGGGGCCAGGTGCCATCCAGGTGTAGCCTCAAGTCATCTGCAGTTCCTGGGGACCACAGCCCCCATCCTAGCAGAGCTCTTAACCCTGTGCATGCCGCCTAGAGGGACAGGGTCCTCCAGGAAGGTCAGGAAGTGGACGGCTTGGGGTCCAGCACCAGGCCTGCAATTCCCAGTGACTGACGCTCTGGTCGCTCTGCTTCCCAGGTGAGTCTGCATGAAACAGCAGGGAACTTGTGAGGTCCTTGTCAGGCTGGGGGACCCTACAGACCCGGCGGGCGCGGGTGGACCTTGGTGGGAGCTGCAGGTGGGTGGGCGCCCTGTGTGTCGCCACCCCTCCCCCGGCCCCCGGCCTGCAGCTGGAGGCCCCAGAGCTGCTGCAATCAATCAGCAGCCACCAAGGAGCCTGCGCTGCACCACTCCCGGCCGCAACCTTACACCTCTGGCATCAAAGGATGGGCCCAGGCCGGAAGGAGGCCGCCCGCCCGTATCTGCAGGACCCCATGCAGCCTGCCTGGGACTCAGGATGGGGCGGTGGCAGGGCGGAGGGGACACACGCCAGGGAGGCTCCAGAGGGCGGGCCCTTTGTGGAGGGAGATCTGGAGAGGGAGAGTGGTGGCACCAGGACGGAAGATGGATGGGTCTGCCGGGCTCCGGGCTCCAGGGCAGGTGTGACTGTCCCTGTGCCATTTGGTTCCTCTCTTCTGCTGCAGATAGTGCTGGCTCCTGCTGTCTCCCTAGGCGTCTGCCTGGGTGTCCTTTACTGTCCCCAGCCCTAGAGAGCGCTTACAGCAAAGGCTGCCTGCCCGCAGCCTGGAGGTTCAGCTATCTGAGGTCCCATTTCACACAGTCTCCCTTAGCTCTGGCCATGCAGAGACCTCTCTCCAAGCTGGCTGCTCTGTCCGACTTCCTGTACAGGCGAGCACAGATGACCTGGACCCAAGCATCGGGACTCTGATTTTAGACTGACAGTGCGTAGTTCATAATGAAAGAGAAACTCCTGAGATGCCTGCGCCTGCCCTGTCCCTGGCCACTCAGGTCTGGAGGACCAGTGGACAGCCCTGGTTACTGGGCACATGCACAGTAAGATTGGGACCCCTGCTCCCCATCTCCTCCACACGTGGCTTCTCTTATTCGGTAAACGCAGAGGGCAGAACGGAAGACCAAACCTAAAAACCCAGAGAGGCCGAGACACGGCCTGGCTGCCTCCTCTGCAGGAGAGCTGACCTTCATGGGGCTAAGCAGGTGGCTTCCTGGCTCCGTCCCCTGCGTGACCACAGCCCTCAGGGTCAGGCGGTGATTTTGTGCCCATTGCTGATGGCCTGCCCAGAAGCACACAGCTGGAGAGCACCAGGATGGGCTCAGCATTGGCCCCGACGTAGAAGTGGGTAGGAGAGTGACAGGGGCTCTCGTGTCCCCCTCACTGAATTTGCCCCTGGTGACACTGTGCATGGCTGTGGCATGACATAAGACCATGGCACTGATGGGAAACTCGTCTCCAGAGCCAGCCTCCGCTCCCCCGGCTTGCTAATTTCCTCAGGGAGGCGGCACCTGGGTGCCACATCACGAATTGCTGTGTGCTCACCCCAGGGTGTCCGTCCCATAAGGTGGCTGGCTCGGTGGCGGGGCTCAGGGCTGCACCCCCAGCGTCTGATGTGGGCAGTGCTTCCCCACAGAGCCCACCTTCCTGAGCTCCAGCTGCAGGGCTGCAGTGGGGACGAGGCGACACAAGGTGACAGGTGTCCAGCATCCTGTCCGGGCCAAGCAATTAGGTTGAGCTCAGCTCCTGCTGGCTTCTAGTCTTGGCTTCTGCTCTTGGGGTCCCTGGGCTCCCTCTGCCCCTTCGCCGTGGCCTGCGACTTTTCAGTGGTTAAGAATGTCCCGGCTAACAGGAGATTGCACAACAATCTGCATCACTTAACTTAGAGGCCGGGTTTCTGAGGCTGGTGTAGGTCTGAGCAGGGGCATGAAGTCCTTGCTAATTCTGCTGACTTGAAATAACAAACAGCTTAACACCTCTATTGTTCTGGGACCTGATGAAAACCACGCCGCCTGCTGCCGCCGCCCGCTGCTGCTGCTGCGGAATAGGAATGGAGGGCTGGGGAGCAGGGCGGCCAGGCCAGGTGCCTGGGCTGTCTGCTGTCGGCACAGGACATCCCAGCTCCCTGCGCTGGCTGTCAGCGAGACTGTTAGCTCTCTTTCCCTTCTCCTTGCCCCCTCCAATCACATGAAAGATAAAGGTCCTTCTGGGGCTGTCCCGTCTTGACACCTTTCTAGCAAGCCAGGCCCTGGGAGTCAGGCTACAGTGACACTGGAAGCCAATAACATGCTTTTGTTTTCCTCGAGTTTATTTCTGCCCAGCGAGTCTTCTGCCTTTGTAAGGGCCATCAAAGTTCTCCTGCGTAACACTGAATTAAAGCAATCAAAGGGATCAAGCCATCGGTGGATAATCCCCGGAAAGCAGATATCTATGCCAGGAATCTGATGATTTTGACAGTGTGGGAGTGGCAGGGGTGATGGAAACTCAGGCCTGGAGACCCCTCGTTGCACAGCGAGGTAAACTGAGGCACAGAGAGGGCAATTTGATGTGGGGAGTCGGGACAGACGGAAAGTTGGTGCCAGAGCTTTCCAGGGGGCACGGTAGGGACTGTGTCTCTGTCCTCACACACAGGAGCGGGGATCGGACCACTTCCCCCAAGAGGAACCCGGTCCCTGCTCTCCCCACGAGCCCTCCGTCACTGGGACACTCCGGACTTGGAAAGGCCACGAGGGCAGGGCGGGGCTGTCTCCATTTTCCCGGCGAGGCTGGGTGAAGCGTCTAAAACACAAACATGTTTATTTCAATTGTGAAATACGCAACATATTTGTTAATAACGGACACATTCCCTAGGATGCTGAGGAAGCTTCTCTAAAAATGGGAAATGCAGAGGTGCTGCTTACTCCTGACCCGTAACCCTGCCATTGTGGGATTAGCTGCTTTCTCTACTTTTGTGTTTGCTGTGTCTGAATTATAGTTGAATTACTGCATGCGTAGTGCAGGAGTGTGATTTTCCTCTCACTGTCTTACAGTGGAATGCTTCTGCTGCTTTGCATATAATTTGAGAACATACACACTTTCAAACTAAAAACCTGGCATCCTATCGTGGACACAGGGAGGCAAAATCCAGACAAACAGAAGGCGATTGTGCCGGAGGACAGCACCCAGGGCGAGAGCTCCCAGTGGAGGGCTCGGAACCGTTCTTGAAGCCAGCGATGCTGGGCACTGAGCTGTGCTGAAATTTCCCTCCATAAATAACGGCAGATGCAAACCCTTCCACGGAAACCGTGTGAACGAGGCTGTTTATTTCCTTCGGTGAGTTCCAAATAGAACAGTTAGAGATCAAAGGGTGCGAAGCTTTCCAAACCCCTGGCATCGATCACCAGCCCAGCCAGGAAACGGTGTGATCCAGCGAGCTCTCTGAGGGCATGGCAACCAGCACTTGTGTCTCTTCGGTTTGCAAACACCGGGCATTGTGACTTTAACTATTTTCTGGCCATTTCAAGGAGTAGAGGACTGCGGTCATGAGTTTGGTTGGGCAGTAGCTGCCTTTGCTCTCCAATGCCTTCCTTTTGCTTGGGGTCCTCTAAGGGGTCTCTGAATCCGTTAATGGAAGAGTGCCCGCAGCCTCTGGCTTTTAGGAGCGTGGAGACTCGGGCACTCTTCCTGCGAAGCATCCCGTTCCCTGTGCAGCTCCAGGCACGGGCCGGCCAGTGCCCCCTCATCAATCTCTGCCGCCTGCTGGAATTTGCTGTCAAGCCTAATGGGGAATGGGCGGAGGGGAAGGGGCATCGGAGAGCCCGCTGCTGGGGGAAGGGAAGTGGCTGGCCGCAGACTCCTGCAGCTGGAGAAGCCCAGGTCAGCGGAGCTCATCCTGCTGCCGTCCGCGGGGAACCACGGCCGTGCCCACAGCTGGCGGTGGCACAGGGAGCCCTGGCTTCAGCCAAAACTGAGTTCCACAGCCAGGCCGCACCTGTCGGTCAGAAGTGTCCCCAGTGCAGCGGCCACAGAACATCAGGAGGAAGCCGAGCCCCGAGCCCCGGGCACAGCAGAAGGCAGCGTGCGGGGGCTCCTGTGGGAGACCTGCAGCCCGGCCCAGGGGGACAGTTTGGTTTTATTTGTGTTTGTTAAGGAGGAGAGGACGTGCGTGCCGTGAGCTGCTTGACAGCAGAGTGGGTGCTGGCGCTGAGCAGCTGCCCTGAGCCGTAGCCTCTGCGTCGTCCCTGAAGCAAGCCTGCAGCCCGTGGTCACTCTGCCGCTCGCCTCCCAGCCTCGGGACCACCTGTCCTCTTCCTTGCTGTGGAAAGGCCTGCTCTGGACATTTTACACAAGCGCAGTTACGTAACGCAGAATCTTTTTTGTGGCTCCTTCACTTCCCCGGTGTTTGAAAGCCTCCTTCACGCTGTGTGCACCCAGAATTCCCTTCTGACTCTGCCATCGTGTGACCCCTCCGGGTCTGTCCATCCGCCCAGAGTGGGTTCCTGCTGGCTGCTGCCACTGGGCTGCTGGTCCAGGTGGTGCTGGGAATATTTGTGTCCACACCTTTGCTGAGTGCTGTTTTCTGTCCTGGGAATTCGGCGGGATTTCTGGTTCCTGCTGGGTGCAGTGATCTGAAGAGGGGCTGGGGTGCATGGGTCCCACTCCTGCCTGGGAGCAGGGGTGTCCGCTCCTTAGCTGAGAAGCTATCCTGCCTTCTTCCCCTCCCCTCCCCTCCCCTCCCCTCCCCTCCCCTCCCTTTCCCTCCCCTCCCTTCCCTTCTTTTTTCCTTTCTTCCTAAGTACCAGGTGTTGAACTCAGGGCCTTTGCACTGAGCTACACCTCCAGCCCTTCTGCATGTTTTTAAAATTTTGAGACAGCATCTCACTAAGTTACTGAGTTGCCTGCGCTGGGCCCAAACAATCAACCCTCCTGCTTCAGCCTCCCAGTGTTGGGATTACAAGTGGCTTCACTACCCAAGGCACTGCTTCTCCGCCAGCTGACACAGTGTAGAGGCCTGCCATGCAGCTCCCTGGTCACCAGCTGCCGGGCTGCAGTCCCCTTCCAGCTCGGAGGCCACTGTGCCTGGGGTCTCCTACCTGTTTCCTGACTGGGTGAATCTCAGCCGAGGGGCTGCCCTGAGCACCATGCCAGGCATACGGTGGGCCCCTGGCAAAGCGTAGCTAGAGGTCCCACCCAGAGCACACACAGGGTGCCACGTGGGGCCACCCTGGCCTGAGTCCCCTGCCCCACAGGTTGGTCCACAGCTAACTTAAAGTGTGCCATTGACACTGTGTGGACTGAGCAGAGCACAGAGTAATCGAATATGCTTCTCATTCCTAAGCAAATGCCCCAAAGCGGGGACCTAGGGACTCAGCCGGGTTGGCCCTCTGGGCTGCCTTTTTTGGGGCAGCCCCACCCCACCCGAAGACTGTCCAGGAAGAAGTGGCTGTGGCGGCCACCTCAGTGCACAGGCTGGCTCTGTATACATCCCTTCAAGGGCTAAATAAATGCAGTAATTTACTGAGAAAAGGCCTTTCAGGGCCACCTCTGGCTCTGAGGTCTCAGGACTTATGGGACAAAGCCAGCATCCATCTTCCGAAGTGACATGTTCCTGTCAACAGAGGCCTAATGGAAACAGCTCCGCGGGAGCAGAGAGGCAGCCTCCTCTTTCCTGGCCCTAATCTCCTGGGCAGGCGGGACCAGCGAGGGTGGTGGGGTGGGGCCTGGAGGACCCGGACTCAGGACAGGAGGGCTGCGGGGTGGGAGGAAGCCGCTTCCCTCTTCCCAGTTGTCCTGGTCTTGTGGGATCAGAGCCAGGCGGCCCTTGGAGTCCAGACTCCTGCAAGGCTCCAAAGCTGGGTGCACTTCAAAGCCCGGCAGCCTGGCTGGAATGCAAGGGGCCCCAGCTGCCATCAGGCGGGTGGACGGGCTCTCTGAGGACCACAGGCTGGCTCTCCAGAGGTCTGCTGCTCCAAGCAGGGCTCCCAGAGACTGGGGTGAGTCTGCAGTCTCTCCCATAAAATGCAAATGAGAGCCTTTTAACCTCCCAGGGTTGTGAGATCAAAGGCAGCAAGGAAAGCCAGTGCTCCATGGAAGGCGTAAATCATCCTGTGTATGTTAAAAAAAAAAAAAAGGGTTAGATCAGGGTGTCCAGCAAATGTAAGTCAAGACACTTGCGTCATTCCCAATTTTCCAGCAACCATGTCCCAGAAAGAAGCTGGTAGACAGGTAGTTTTCAAAGTACTTTACCCAACGCATCCAAATTAACCTAAAAAGCAGCTGCCTGGTCAGGCAGGTATTTTACATTTTCAGCCCATCTCAGTTGCCTGCTCAGGTGCCACGTGTGGCCATCTTACATGCTGTGGTTTGGGGGCGGGACTTCCTGTGCGCAGGATGTCTGGTGGGCGGGACTTTCTGTGCGCAGGACGTCTGGTGGGCGGGACTTCCTGTTGGGGTTTTTGGGGTGCCAGAGTTGGAACGTGGAGCCGCACGGTCCCCGGCCAGGGTCCTACTAAGGCATTGGTTGGGCTGCGGGCTCAGCGAGAAGTGCCAGTGTAGCTGCCCTACTGCGTGGCCCTGTGCGATGAGACGGTGTGTCAGACCAAAGAGCAATTATGTAATTAATTCCATCTTTCCTAATTCCTGCTCTTTAGCATTTGGGATATTTGGAGCAAGGTTAATTTTATTTAGTTTTTATTTTTTTAAAGAGAAAAAAGAAAACACAGATACATCAAGAAGCAAACACACCTAAAAACAAACAAAAGCAAAATGGCAATGGAAAGCCACAGCTACATAGAGGCTCTAAATAAGCCGACAGGGACTTAACGATGCTTGTCATACTGCACACTGCTGTCTTCAAAGTAGGTTGCTCAGGCCGCTGGACACAGGCGCAAAGCTAAGCAGTGAAACAGAGCAGCCCAGTGAGTGGACTTCAGCCACAGACAGGAGGAATCCTGCACAGCTGGCACGGTGTACACTGCATCCTGCAGGCAGAAGCCAGACCAGCTGACCCTGCAGGCCAGCGCAGTAGAGTGTGAGCTGTTCCTTTCACCCCCGCTGCTAGCACATCACCCAGAGTCCCCAGAACCCCCAGTTGCTTACTGCGGCCTGGGGCAGGGGTGTAGATGATGTGCCTCTGATTGCCCAGCCTCCTACCCGCTGGCTCACGGGAAGGTGTGCTTTGTCTTCTTGCTGAGTCCCTTACGGACCCGCGTGGCCGAGCCTGCTTCACAGGAAGGCGTCATGAGGTTAATCTTACAATCTAGTTGTTTGTAGGTGAGAAATTTTAGCAATAGGGGTGCCCATGGTGGAGTCACTCAGAGACACAGATGAACTTGGGACACCAGAGCAGGAGGTGGGGGGAGCCGCTGTGTGGCAGAGAGATTGTGGGGACCTGGTGACCGGTAACTGACACAGCCTGTGAGGGCGTGTGAGGGGCGGCCAGCCTGCGGGGTGTGCAGGGGAATTGTGCCCTAAAACGCCAGTCGGGGAGTCCGGGGCTCCATACCAGTATCCTAGGAGTGTGGGCATTTTCTGCCTCTTTTTGTTTATCTGCATTTAAAAATTTTCTCATAATAAACATGTGTTAGTTAAGGAATTAAAACTTTTAAAAGATAAAAGCAGTTCATTTGTGTCACGATTGTGAGCCTTGGTTTTGGAGTGAATGGAAAGGAGGAGGGGACCCCACAACTGAGGTGTTTGCACACTTTTTCACACTCCGCTCTGGCAGGTGTTTGTACACAGCCATGGTACACACTCAGGTCGCGTGGCCAGACCTTCCTTGTATATGCTCTCACCCGGCGTGGGCTCTGGTGTTTAAGAGCTGGAGAAGAAATACTCACCAGACCTGGGCTGAAATGCATCTCTCCACCTGTATTTCACACCAAAACAGCAAGAGAGGCGACTGTGTCAGGGCGCCCAGGGCACAGTGATCGTCCCCAGGAGGTCCTGAGGATGGCCCTGCTCGCCCTCTCCATGGACCTGCCCCGAGGCACCGGGTGTGAGTCCTCCGGGCTGGGCTTTGTGCGTGAACCAAATTCAACCTTTCCATCAGGTGTAAGTTTCTGAAAGCAGGTGGATGTGCAGTCAGGGCAAGCAACACAGGTGTGTGCCGAGGCTGTGCGGGTGAGTGTGTGTGCACACGGGTGAGAGGTGAGACCAGGCCGAGCCCCAGGGACCAGGGAGCGCCCACCGCAGCACTGCTCACAAGCCCGTGCCCGGCCTCACACAACTCACGGCCACCAGACTCGCCTGTCTGTTTGCTCTGCTTGTACCCTGCCTGTGGGAGCAGCCTGGGAGGAGGCTTGGTCCCCCCCTCATCTCAGGAGCAAGGTCCCTGGCTCAGCAGGGCGCCCAGCTGTGGAAGCACAGTCGTAGGCCCCACCCTGGGCTCGGGGAGTCAGTCCTGCCTGTGACAAGAGCCTGAGGGGTTCCCTGCGCTTGCCAGCTTGAGCACCCCAGCCCAGAACGTGTCCCTGTGGCTCAGGAAGCCCAGCTCTGGGAACCCTTCTGAGAACCTAAAGGTGGCCACCAGTGTGGGGCTGGGGAGACTGCAGGGTCCCTGCCTCCAGCAGGTGGTGACACCCCTGAGGCCAGATGTCCCCTCGCTGGCGTGCACATGCCCTTCAGCCCTGGGGCCTGGTTTTCCTGGGCACGGGGCCTAGAGCCCCCTTTGTGGAACCTTGAGTTCATCTTTAAAATGCCAGCCTCTCTCCTCGGGCTGGGTGATCCTGGGCATGTGTCCACCTTGGTAGAAAGTGGTCTTGGTGCCTCTGGACTGTGGCTGCCAGGGAATCGTGAGACAGTTTGTGGAAAGGCCCTAGAGCCTGGCCCAGAGAAGCTGCCCTACATGCTCCCTGTCACTGTTCCAGGGCCACCAATGTGCCACTTCAGGGCTGAGGACGTGGGGAAGGGGAGCCACCCTCCTCCTGAGACGCTGCTCCCCCGGGTGAGCCCTGAGCTCCCTGAGCACAGCCCCTGCTCCGCTGTCCCATGTGGGGAGCTCACCCAAATACCCTGTGTCTAATTTGGAAACAATTTGGACCTCCCGAGTCTGCACTGTCCGGAGCTGGCTGGGTCGGCTTCCTGCTCCCACGGAAGTGGGGCTCTTTGGGCTTCGGGCTTCAGATGAATCCATCTGAAGAACATTTTGATGAATTATGTGTGCAGGAGTTGGGAGCAGATGGGTTGGATTTCCTTTCCACATCGAGTTTGGAAAGAAAGAAGCCACTCAAGGCCCGGGGTGTGGGCTGTTGGCTGGGAGACGCTGCTTGTCCCCAAGTCTGAAGGTAAAGGGAGCTAGGTACAGAGGGAAGAGCACAGGCGTGGGACTCAGGGTGTCCTGGGTTCAAGCGTTGCCCTGCCTGGTGCTGACCGAGGCACTGCTGGCCTCTCCGGGGTCGTTCCCAGGCTGTGGAAGTGGATTTCCACACGTGCTTCCTGTGTGGCTGGCTCCAAGTCCCTGCAAGGGACGCTGTCCGTGAGCCCCGTGCATGCTGGCCCTGGTGAGTGACCTGCCACCTGAGCTGCCACCTGGGGACCAAGCAGACAAACCTGCCTGGACTCATGGCTGAGCTGCACACAGGGTTTCTCTGATTTAGCCAGAAGTCAGGCTGGCGTGGGGCTCTCTGGACTGACTCCTCCCGGAAGCTGGGGGCGACTCTCCTGATCTGCCCCATCTCTTGGCGCCTGTGTTCCTCAGCCAGCACCCCCACCCCATCCTCAGCACCAGCGGTGCAGTATCTCCACACAGGTCCCACCGTCGCTCCCCCTCTGGCTCGTGTGTTCCAACCCCGCTCGTTGGTGAGCACCCCTGCCATCCCTGATGCCCCAGGCTGCATCTCCAAGGCCCTGTTGCCACACAAGGCAGCCTGAGCACAGGGTCCTGGGGACAGGATGGGAGTCTGTGGCAGGTGTGGCATTTCGGGAGGTCACAAAGGGGGCAGCAGCCCTAGGGCCACATGGGTCCAGGTCTCCAACCCAGCCTGGCAGGACCCAGGGCAGCTCCAGTGTGGAAGTCAAAGACGTTTGCTCTTCACAGCAGCCCACGGGCAAGGAGCTGGGCACCCGAGGCTCAGAGAAGGGCCATGGAGTTCGGGGGCCATCCTGGGGAAGGCACTTTACCTGAGCCGGGCGCTAAAATCACATGCATGGCTTGGGACCACCCGCCTGCCTGTGGCCAGGCAGCAGGGCCAGCTGCGGGACCAGTGCACTTCAAGGTCAGCCAGGCCCTGTGCCCCTCTGGGCCTGTGCCAGGTTCATTGCCCTGCTGCACAAAGTGCTGCCTGGCATCTGACTGGGGCCAGTGCCACAGAGCAGACACTGCCTGGGTTACACTGTCGTGGGGCCAGGTGAGGGAGGGCCCTGGTGCGGGTTGAGAGGTGAGGCCTGAGGAGGCAGGGGGATCCCAGGGGCTTCTTCCGGTAACGCACTGTCCTTCTGCATGCACTGACCGCCGTCCCCTCCCAGCCAGGTCTCCATCTGCCCTGCAGCGCTGCAGAGTCTCCCCCGCCTGCAGCCATCGGTAGGGATCCAAGGTGTGCTGCACCCTGAGCCTGGTATCCAGGCCCTTGTTTGGAAGAGAGGCCTTTGCAGATGCTGAGAAGTGACAATCTGGGCTTATCATGGATGCAGATCCGATGGCCCGAGTCCTGTGAGACACAGAGAGGGCAGCAATCAGATGATGCAGCCACAGCCCACGGAGGCCTGGGCCACCGCAGATGGAAGTGGCAGGAAGGTCCTCCCGGGGCCACCGTGGGAGCTGGCCCTGCCACGTCTTGCTGCAGGACTCAGGCCTGGGCTACGATCCTGCTGCACAACAGTCCCTTGCCCCCTTGCTGGCCTGTGGTACAGGGCTGCCCCTCATGGTGCCGGGACCCTGGCCTGCTCTCTGGGAGTGTGGCTTTCATCCTGCCTGCATATCTGGTGCCCCAGGTGGGGTGGCCATCCATGCCCTAATTGGTCCTGGTACCGGGCAGGGTTGTGCCCATTGCCCAGCACTGGGCTGGGCTCCTGCTGCCCTGTGCCACCAGGTCTGGCGTGGTTGTTCCTACAGGGCTGGGCTCTCGGAGGGTCATGGGCTGTGCTCATCTTTTTAATGACAGTTTGCACTGATTGCTGCGGAGGGAGCACAGGCCGTTGTGAGGAACCCTAGAGGTCTTGTGTGCCCCTTGCAGATGAGGGTGACATTGTTTTCAAAGCCAGAGCACAAGGTGACAGCCAGGACTCCCCACCTCCCGTCCTGTGCGGCGTCCCTGTGTGCACGCGTGCGTGCCTTTGGTCTCACGTCGCCTGTCACGTGCAGTCTTGGAGTCACCGCCACAGTCCTGGTACAAAGTATTTGCATCACAGCAAGGATTTGTCTTTTTTTAATCTGAGTTTTTCAGGAATTTTTTAAAAGCCCAAATTCCTGGTTATTTCATCCGGAACCCCCAAGCCAGGCAGAGCGCAGCGCGGACTCCTGGCTGGCCGTGGGGTGGGTTCGTCCCTTCTTGGTGGAGATGGAGGCCGAGGCGGTGCTGACCCCCTCCAGGCTCTTCCTGTCCCTTGCTGCCCTGTGTGGGTCAGGATTTTGGAGCCCCAGGGTGGGAGGCTCCGTCCACGCCTTGGGTGGGGAGAGTCCATCCTGAGCCTCTTCCCGATGTCCTCTGCTGGGCCTGGACATCCATCTGCGTGGACGCCACCTTCCAGCAGCCGGGTCCCGCCTCCGTGCCTCTTGAGGGTCCTCTTTGTCCAAGCAGCTACGAGAGCCCGCGGTGGAGCCTTGCACCCGGGCTGCCTGATAACCGGCTCGGCTTTGAAGTTGTCCAAGCTCAGAGCGGGCCGGCCCTCCGCGGCAGGCTTCGCACGCTTGTTTATTTTTGTCCCTGCGTGGGCTTGTGTGATTTCCCTCCCAAGTGGGCAGCTATGATTACTGCTGTCATTACCCTATTGCGAGCCCTGCTAAACGCCATCTCCCGAGCCATCCGATCCGCCCTCCGGGGGCCGCGGAGACCACCCACGGCGGCAGCCCTGCCTGCACCCCCGCCCACCAGTCGGGACGCAGGCTTGCGATTTCGAACACACCCGCACACATGTGCACACACACACACACACACACACACACACACACACACACACTCATGCACACGGAGGAGCCTGGCCTTTTTAGACCAGTTGACCATCCCTCCTCGGGTGGCTCAAGGAGGTGCCAGAATGTCCCCAAGAGCCGCGCGCCCTCCAAGGGAGGACCCGGGACACGAGAAGACACCCAGCTCTCTCTCGGTTGAGCCCCAAATGGATGAGATCAGAAAAGGCACCATGAGAGAGTTCCTCTCCTAAACACCGGCAGTACCACAGGGCACCGGGAAGCGTGGGCATCTGGGAAGCCATGCGGCTCCTCCCAGAGCAGGGGCCTCAGAGTCAGGGTTGCACGGGACGCCCACCAAGACCCGGCTGCCCCGAGCCCCCTGGGTGTCCCTGCGAGGCACATGGGGTACGAAATGCGGAGGGGCTTGTTTTCATCTGCAGTTATTCTTTTCTGTCCAGGTTTTCTCCCTCCAAGCCTCTAACCTACAGCCACGCACACAACCCACCCATGCACACACCCACCCATGCACACACCCACCCATGCCACACC